TCTGTAATAGTTGGATATCATTTGAAAAATTTAAGTTAGATCTTCATGGTACATCAGAATAAATTATGGAAATTAGACTCCCACCTCATGGAAAAATTAATTATAAAATTAGAGCCCTAATAATAATAATAATAATAAAGATGTCTTCTCATGACATTATGTATCATAGCTTTATTCATAACATTATTTACACTTTATTGTACATACTTAGTTGTCTGCCTAGAATGTAAGCTCCTTGAGATCATGGAGCTTTCATCATTGTTTCCATAGCACCTGGTGTATAGCAGGCACTCAGGAAATCTGTTGGAAGAATGAATGAGTGAATGAACAAACAAACCCCCAATAGGAAATTGGACAAAGCATATGAACAGTTAACCAAAGGGGGAAAAAAAAAAAAGACCAGTAAACATGAAATTATGTTCAAACTCTCTGTTACTTAGAGAAAAACATTAAGGAGCTAATAAAGTACTGATTTTCATTAATCAAATTGGTTAAAAATTTAAAAATAATAATTATATCAACATTCATACAGTGTAAATTGGTCCAGCTTTTTTGGAAAGCAATTTGGTAGTCTGTATTGGTTAAAATGTGTGTACCTCCTAGCACCATGATTGTGATCTCTAAATGTTATTTCTCATTAAGTGGAATCATAGTCCTTTGGAGGAATGGCTGATTCTAAACCTGGGACTTCTTGGGACAGAAAGCAAGAAAGCCATCAAAGCCTACCAAGTGTGTTAGAAAGATATAGGAGCAAACTTGGAGGAGCTCCCACTGGCTAAAAATGGCACAATTTGAACATCTAAAGGAATAATCACTGTGATTGATTTAAACACATTAAATCTATAAATGGGTTCATGATAACATTTTAAAAATCAGTCACTTTGGTAGTTGCTAGGATACAACTCACCATTCTGAATTCTAGTAAATAAAGAGAATCAAGCATTTATCCTGCTTTTCCTATATTAACTGTATTTCAGCTAACCCAAGAGTTCATGAGGAAAATTTCTTCTTTATCAAAGAATTCCAGCCAGAAAATGCAATGGAAATGGTAGAATTGGAAGATTGTTATTTTTACAACTTCCCCCATTCCCAAAGAAACTGTGGCCTTAGGCCAGTGCTGTCAAACTAATGGTGGTAAGAACAGGTGTTTTGTTTTGTTTGAAACTTCAAATTTATTGAGGAATACACTTATGAGATGCAATGAGATGTTGCAACAATGTTAAATTGCTGTAAAAGTTTCTAAACTTTTTCATCTTTATATTTTTGTACTTACTATGAATTGGTAGCAAACCACTGGGGACTGACACCACCACACCTTGAGAAGCACTGGCCTAGACAATAATCACGAGTGAATAACAAAACTATTAAGTGAAAGAAAGATAGAGAACAACCCCCACCCCCCAGCCTAAGAACTTAAATCTAATCAAGCTTCTAGAACTGACTACCGATTTACCAAATAGAGGGACAGAAGGATGAGTTAAATGATACCACCACAAGGAAAGCATCAACCAAATACCAGAATGTGGGAAATCCTATAGGACAAATGACACGGTTTATTCAACTTCAACAAATAAATGTCATAAAATGAAGAGGGAGGGGACACTGCTAAAAGATTAGAGGCAAAAAGACATCTGAATCAAATACAATGTGTGGGACTTTCTGAATTCTGATTCAAACAAATTTAACAATCACCAAAATGTGAAGATAGGTCATTGATCTTGTGTTTTTTGAAAAGCCTTATTTGTTAGATATACATACCGAATTATTTCAGGTAATGTCTAGGATTTGCTTTAAAATACTCCAGCACATTCTAGTGTGGGGCAAGAGGAGGAAGAATAGAAGTAAAACAGGCAACATGTTGATAATTGAAGTTTGGTAACAAGTGTCACAGATAAATAAAACCAGACATTAAAGTGATGAAAACTGATTTCACTCACTAACTACTGACAGTAGGGGAAAAAGCTGAGCTCCAATCCAATTTGTGCTGGGGTGGCTGGTGTTTTACAGGTGAATGAGGGAGTAGAGATAGAGGAAGAGGGGAACCCAAGTGAAAAATTGTACAAAGAGTTAGTGTGAATGCCTCTGAGGCCAGCTCTGTGTGCTAGCTGGAAACAATCAAAGTTAGGATTTATCCTCCCACAGAGACTGGAACACAAAGGCCCTATCCTTCCTGACGGTTAACTTCCAAGAGAAGGGCCTTCAGGACCTGGAGAAAGGTACTCCTGAGTTGTAGGAATTAAATACACATCTTTGGGGAATGGAGGAAAGATTCACAATTGCAAGCCCTTTTTAGTAAATGCTCTAAGAAAGAAAGGTTGAGGGGCTTATCTTCAGGTGTTGGCTAGAAGAAACAAACTCTTCTGATAGCCTTGAGCTTTCTTAGGCAGCACTTTACTGGGGGACTTGGGTCCTCCTAGAGACATGGCCTTATGCTGCTAGAAGCCTTGCTAGACAGTTTGGTTGTCTTAGTGCACAGGTTTGGATGGAGTCATCGTGTGCTGAGAGTTCTACAGTCCTTACAAGTACATGGGGGTCCAATATAAGAGGTTTTTTTTTATGAGAAAAATACACAGTTACGTATAAGTTTGCAAGTTTTATTAATAAGAGGTTATTTTAAAATGTGTATTCTTGTTACCCACTAATTCATCTTAAAGGAATGTATCCTAAGGTAATAATCAGGAATTTGGTCAAGGATTTATGTATGAGGATGTTCATCAAAGTAGTAACCAATAGGAAAATTGGAAACAAATGTTTTCAACATTAAAAGATTTATAAATATAGTAGAACATTCCAAAACATCAAGAGCCATTGATTGATGAGGCTCTGCAATAGCAAGCACTCATAAATTGCTGGAAGAGCTGACCCCGTGGAGAACAGTTTGGTGATCTTAACAAAATTACTAATTCATTTACCCTGTGACCTAGTACTCCCACTTCTGGAAACGTATTCTGAAGTGATATCTCTACATGTTTGAAATTGTTATGCACCAGGTTATTCATCACATCATGATTTGTGATAGCAAAAGATTGGAAACAGTAGAAGACTAAATTGTGGAATTTATGCAGAGGAGTGCTATATAGCTGGAAAAGGAGATGGAGAACCTCATATTTGTGCATTCAGTATAGTAGCCACTAGCTACATGTGACTATTTAAATTTGAATTATTTGAATTAAAATTAAATTTGAATTGATCAAAATTAAATTTAAAATTCAGTTTTTTGGTCACATTAGCCACATTTAAAGTGTTCAATAGCCACATGTGGCTAGTGGGGCTACCAAATTGAACAGCACAGACATGAGACATTTCTATCAATGCAGATAGTCTTATTGATAGTGCTGCTTTATATAGTGAGCATAAAAATATCTCCAAAATACCTATGTAACTTTAATAATAAATAACAGATACCTAAAGATAGATAGAAAATATTAGGTAAAACAAAACTTAGGTACTTTATGAAAGATTAAAAGTTGAGTTCTATACACATGGAATCTTTTCACAGATTTTTTTTTCCTTAAAATCAGTAACCTCTCCATTTTCTTCTATCAGCTGATCATTTTCATATTTGTCAATATGATGCCAGGTGGAATACACATTACAGAAGAAATCCAGTTGGTATAATTATTGCAGGAGTCTTGATGAATTAGTTTTTTTTTTTTTAAGCTAGCCTTTCCTGTTTTTTACAAGCAAGAATTTTGAACCAAGCATGCTTGAAGAAGTAACATTCCTCAAAGTGCATGCTCTAAATGGTAGGTGCTGCGTAGCACAGAATTGCAGCTATAATCACAGCTTTCTGGGATATTCTGAAGTTAGGTTGTGGTATAATAGGAAGAATATTTGGTCTTTGTTCTGGTCCCTCATTTAGCTTCTAATACCTTTGGAATTTCCTGAAGAATGAGGGTCTTTGGCAAGCTAATGAAATGACTTGGTGATGGGCTCCCAGTTAGCTTCAGAGTGGAGGCTGGTCACCAAAGATTAAACCTCCATTAGAAGCTTGAAACTTTCAGTCCTACCTCCCAGCCTCCAGTGAGGGGAGAAGGGCTAGAGATTCAAATAATCTCCAGTGGCAAATGATTTAATCAATGGTGCTGGTAGTGGTACCATTGGTACCACTACCAATGGTAGTGAAGTCTCCTTAAAAACCTCTAAGTGGACAGGATTCTGTAAGCTTCCTGGTTGGTAAAGGCTTTGAGGTGCTGGGAGGGTGGTGCACATGGAGAGGATAGGCCAACTCCATGCCCCTTCCCACTTCCCTTGCTCTATGTACGTCTTACTTTTGGCTGCCCCTGAGCTGTATCTTTTGTTATAAACTGGTAATAGTAATTAAAACCTAGTAATATTACTGTAATAGTAATTAAAGTGAATCTTTCTAGCAAATTATCAAACCTGAGGAGGTCATGTGGAAACCCCTGGGTTGGTCAGTTTAGGTGGCCTGGAACTTCTGTTTGGCATCTGAAGTGGAGACAATCTTGTGGGACTGAGGCCTTTAACTTCTGGTAACTGATGCTGACTCCAGGTAGACAGTGTCAGAACTGAACTGAATTATTGGACACCCAGTTGAAGAGGTGGAGCTGGAAAAAACACCATGTATTTGGTGTCCAGAGGAAAAAAACCCTTAAGGTATAACTTTTGTATGGTTACAGAACATGATGAGTAAATGTTTATTTCAGAGTCTGGCTTGTTTTAGTGATGTCTAAAAAGAAGATAATAGGGGGCGCCTGGGTGGCTCAGTTGGTTAAGCGACTGCTTTCAGCTCAGGTCATGATCCTGGAGTCCTGGGATCAAGTCCCACATTGGGCTCCCTGCTCAGCAGGGAGTCTGCTTCTCCCTCTGACCCTCTTCCCTCTCGTGCTATCTCTCATTCTCTCTCTCTCAAATAAATAAATAAAATCTTAAAAAAAAAAAAGATAATAGGAACTAACTTACTCCTTAGTGTGCATTGTTTTTTAAAAATGGGGAATTGTATAAATTTGAGATACTAATTAATAATTAATTTTAAACAGATCTACAAAAAATAAGGAAGTTCCTCCTTTGGAAAATAAAGTTGCATACATCAGAGAAAAGAAATCATCTTTGAATCTATCTTACCGAAGTCATGACTGCTCTCGAACTTGTCTGATGAAAATACCACTTACCTTCAAGGGAGAAAACCCTCTGCAGCTACCAATCAAATGCCACTTCCAAAGACGACATGCAAAGACAAACTCTCATTCTTCAGCACTCCATGTGAGTTATAAAACCCCTTGTGGAAGGAGTCTACGAAATGTGGAAGAAGTTTTCCGTTACCTGCTTGAGACAGAGTGTAACTTTTTATTTACAGATAACTTTTCTTTCAATACCTATGTTCAGTTGACTCGGAATTACCCAAAACAAGAAGAAATTGTTTCTGATGTGGATATTAGCAATGGAGTGGAATCGGTACCCATTTCTTTCTGTAATGAAATTGACAATAGAAAGCTTCCACAGTTTAAGTACAGAAGGACTATGTGGCCACGAGCATATTATCTAAACAGCTTTACCAACATGTTTACTGATTCGTGTGACTGTTCTGAGGGCTGCATAGACATGTGAGTAGAAAAACATGGCATTTCAAAAAGTCTTCTGAATGTAGGGGTACTTGTCAGGAAGTCCTGCATTGTATCAGTTTGTCTCTCTAAACTCTGTTCACCAAGAATCAAAAATGGAAGGATATATTGTCTCACTAGCAATAGAAAAGAAAACTCTTTGCCAATTATTATAGTAATTTGAAAGTTATTTCTTCCAAGGATGAGTATTTCCTTTAATCTAGTACCATAATCACAATGGCAACAAGTCCAGCTAAAGCCATGTAACAGTGCCAGACACTGTAACAAGTGCTTTACATATACTTTTTTACTTAATCCTCTCAAAACCCCATGAAGTGTAGGTAATATTACTTCTGCGTTATAAATGAGGAAGTTGAGAAGCCAATTTTAAGGTCGTAGGGCAAACAAATTGAAGAGTCAGTGTTTGAACCCATGCTCTTTACCATTATGTTATATGTCTTGTTTTACTTTTACAAATATTTCCTTGCTACTTCTTTATAAAGTTAAAGGTGCTTATAATTCATAATCCCATAACATTGGCATTCCACTAAAAAAACATGTTCTATAGTAAGAATTTGAAAATTTTATTTTAAGGGTATGTAAGATACATGTAGTAGGTAGGCATATATAGAGTGGAGTTGCATTATATACATTTAATTTAATGCAAATTTAGCTACCTGTACTGGGCAAAAGAAAAAGGAGAGAAAGAATTTAAATAGTATAGGCAGTAGTTTCACCATCTCAGTTATTTGAAGTGTGAGAGGAGATGTATAAATCTGCTGTTACCTCAGTTTGGCTCATTCCTTTAGGCCTGTCATAGAGGAAATCTCTCACAGTGTCAGGTTTTATTCTGTTTTAAAATAAGGGTTTTGTTTTTTGTCTTTTTGTTTTTAACATTGTGTCTAAATATAATAGACATGTGGCCAAGCCCAGTCCTCACTGCTGGAGAAAAAAACTGTTGGACAATGTTTACTTAATGGTCAGTTTATAAGATTTTTTTTTTAAAGAATCTTGACTATATATGATTTTTTTAAAAGATTTATTTGAGAGGGAGAGCAGGGAGAGGGGCAGAGGGAAAGGGAGAGAGAGAATCTCAAGCAGGTTCTAAACCCTGCATGGAGTCCAATGCAGGGCTCAGTCTCGTGACCCTAAGATCATAACCTGAGCCGAAATCGAGAGTCAGACCTTAACCCACCCAGGCACCCCAACTGTATATGATTTTTGCTTTAACACTGTAGACACTAACTTTTATATAACATGTACCACCAGTATACATATTTTCATCTATAGGTCAGAAATTATAAGAGAAATCTCAAAAGCAAAGGCTGAAACCTGCTGGGATCTGGAAATGGACACAAGCACTGTGGCTAGGGATTTTAACTCTTATAGGAATGGGAGTTAAACATGTCCCATGTATGGCAGAGAGTGGGCGCTCAGTTCTCCAGGGGATAGAATCAGGGACCTCTACAGGGGCTGGGAAGTAGGCTGATTATCTCACATAGCCTGGAATGGGATTAAAAACAACTGGTTTTAGAGCAGTGAAACCCATAGTCACAGCCAGAGCAATGAGGAAAGGAGTCAACATAAAGGAGCACCCAGGAGTAAACCCACAGAAAGGTAGGATTTCAGTCAAAGCACACAGAGATGTTTAGGACCATGAAGGCAGCATGAATCCCAACAAATGGGAGAATTCACACCTGAAGAATCAGAGATAAATACAGAATCTGATTAAAAGAGACTTTATTTTTTTAAAAAGATTTTATTTATTTGAGAGAGAGAAAGCAAGAGATGAGGGAGAGGGACAAGCAGACTCTGCACTGAGTAGAGCTCCATCTCACAACCCTGAGATCATGACCCAAGCTGAATTCAAGAGTCAGTTGCTCAACCAACTGAGCCACCTAGGTGCCCCGAAAAGAGACTTTAAAATATATATGTTTAGGGCGCCTGGGTGGCTCAGTTGGTTAAGCGACTGCCTTCGGCTCAGGTCATGATCCTGGAGTCCC